TCACATTTATCTGTGGATTTTCAAAGGCTCCAGTGTATTAATTTAATATATATACCTGAATATTAAGATGAAAGCAATTTTCCATTAACTGCCAGTGGCCTCATTTGTTACACTCAGCCCTAGAGGGCCTCGAACCTCTGACTAGTCTTACACGGTCTGCAACAGCTAAGATTCAGTTTCCACTTCTACCTCAGACTATTGCCTGGCCACAATATTTGGTTGAAAAATAAGAGATGAATAAGATGTGTGAGGTCTGCCTTGCAGGTTTCTCTGAGGAATTATCTGCTTCACAGCTTTTCCTTAGTAGATATCTGCTTGTGCCTTCTTTTCCACTCAGAATATGCATTTAACATTTAATAGTAATGTTAATAATAATTAATAATAACTGGCATTGTAGGATAAGTATTGTTGTTATTGTTGTTAGGTGCCACCGAGATGGTACCAACTCACAGTGACCTTATGCACAGCAGAATGAAACACTGCCTGGTCCTGGGCTGACCTCACTATTGTTGCTATGCTTGAGCCCATTGATGCTGCCACTTGGCCAATCTATCTCGCTGGGGATCTTCCTCTTATTCTCTGACCCTCCACTTTCCCAAGAATGATATCCTTCCCCAGCGACTGGTCCCTCCTGACAATATATCCAAAGTATGAGAGATGATGTTTGGCCGTCCTGGCCTCCAATGAGCACTCTGGCTGCAACAGATCTAACACAGATCTGTTGGTTCTTTTGGCAGCTCATGACACTTTCAATATTCTGGGACTGTTAAATGCAAGGTTAGTAGTTTGAACCCATCAGTTGCTCCATGGAAATCTATATACTGGGTCATTATGGATTGGAACAGATGCAGTGGCAGTTAGCATGTTACAACAACAATGATCAGTAAAGGAGCCTTGGTGGTACAGTGGGTTAAGCATTGAGCTGCTAACTACAAGGTGGGTGGATCAAATCCTGAAGCTTCTCCACGGGAGAAAGATGAGGTTGTCTGCTCACATAAAGATTTACAGCTTTGGCACTCCTGCCGACCATTTCTAGTCTGTCCTATAGGCTCACTGTGAATTGAAATTCACTTAATGGCATTGGATTTTAAAAACGATCAATAATGCTAATAATGTTTAATAATGCAGTTGGTGGTTAACATTTGGTTGAATACACTATCACTGGGATTAGGTAGGGAAGTTTTCTAAGACTTGTAGTTGTTGTTAAGTGCTGTCGAGTTAATTCCAACTCATAGCGACCCTGTATAGGGTTTCTGAGGAGCGTCTGGTGAATTTGAGCTTCCGAACTTGTGGTTCAAACCAACCT